AGAAGTTCAAACCGACTTATGATTTTTGTCTGGCTTTCACCATACAGTGAAAGGAAAATAAGACATCAAATATACTCATTGTAAACGGTTTAGTTATACTATTTGAGAGTATTATTTTACATCTATGATTGATTAAACCGATCAATCAGAAATAGAGGTGAGAATAATTATAAATAGTAAAAATGTCTCTTTGAAAGAATAACAACAAACTAAATATTAGATTGTAATTAGATTTTTATAATTTGCTAGATATAAATAGTGATGGACTAGCTCTAAAACACGAAAACCCTGGCCTCGGTCTCTAGAGGGTTATGGGTGAGTATTAATGAAGAATCCCATCATATGACGAAGGAGCTTTCAGACAATTGTTTCATAATTTCCAGTGGTTGTTTATGTAACATAGGTTCATGATATAAACTATTATCTAAAGATTGATCACAGTGCATAATCCCATAAACATCCCTGATTGTATTACGTGATATGAAAATGTTATAGTGTAATGGTGGTATTTAATGTATGATTAGTGGTCCGAAACAATAAACAAGTACAAAAATTACTAACCATTAAGTAGTTCTACTCTATTTATTGGTCATGTTAACAGCGAAATCTGTTCAAATAGTTAATTTTACGTGAAATTATTGTTAAATTAGTAACCAAGACAAGTTAACTTATTAAGTTAAACTCACCTTAATTTATAACATCAATGCATCTAGCAAGAGGTTTTTGTAATGATCTTAGGATTCAGAAAGCCAAGTTGGCCTTTACCGACTTACATCACTCATGAATTAGGCAAGATATCTGTTTGGCAACTAAAGGACGAGTTTACTATGATGCATTTTGCTCCATTGTAACACAGCCTTTCAAAATAGAGAATATTCGTGGGTCATTATTATTCGACCTCAGATGTCTTCAGACCATATTTCATGTATTTTTAGACAACTGAGTAAGCAATGGAGAGAGTAGGGATAAAGTACTAGACAAATATGGGAACTCAATTGACGAGGTAGTGAATCTCTACCGACCGGAATGATTGAGACATGTATTGCTCATTCCCATCCACTAAATACTCCAATATGCGATGATGGCTAATGTAGGAGTAGATTAGAAGAATGATGGAGGTAGCCGAACCAAGACATGACATCAATTCATGAAGACATTGACTGTCGGATTGATCAGACTACGTTGTGGGGATTCGGGTGGTTATTGTGAACGATTATTAGAGATCTTGAATGACATGGCTTGAAATCGTTTACAATAAAGCACTTGCATCCATTCTTTGTGTTCAGCCAAATCCTGAGATTTTAAATTCCTCATAATTCATTTTTGGTTTTATTTCACTAACTTATATTCTGTATTCGAGTCGTAGCTTAAATACTTAAACTTTTCAATTACCACTGATACTGTTACCACCTCTACTATCATGGATTTCGGCCTGAAAGCTTCATAGCGGTGTGCCGATGAGGTATGACAACTTGAACCGATGTAAATACGCACAGTTTGTTTCTTGTGACTAACTGACTGACTATTTAAATTCCGTGGTTCATCATGTAAAATGACAATGTTTGATCGAAGGATATTGATCATGAATCTTAAAGTGATCATTAACACTCAGAACCTAAGTACCTAAGTTACACAAATGTTTTTTGTTATTTCACTGATTTACATTTTCTTCGCGAATCGTATCTTGGATATCTAATTTTTCCTACTACCACTGACACTGATATCAACTGTATTATGCTGGGATTCGCCCTGACAATTTTGATTCGTGGTGCTAATGGAACACAGCAATTTGAACTATTGTACACATATGCCAGACTCTACATTGAGTAAGAATGACTGACGGACTAGAAATTAGTCACTTTATTGAAATGGTTACAAACTACTTATTCCATCTAGAAGTAGTAGTTTTTTTACTGATCAGTTGTATATTTTTAATAAATTATCTTTCACTGGTATTGGTTGTCATTGAAATTGCACAAGAGATTTATGTCTCTTCTCTTCATAATTTTTGGCAACCTTAATACTACTACTACTAATAATAATAATAATAGAAGTAATAATCATTGCAACGAACAAGCGTATGTGTGTACGTCATATGCAATTAGATAAGTATCTCTTACTTCTCTTTTTCTTCTTCGATTATATCAGTTTATTGAACAGTATTAAGGTAATATTGTCTGCTAGCTGTCATGATAACAGTTAATTCGTTTCATTTTGCTTGATCTGCATCAAAAATATAGATAAAAAGTGGAATAGATATTTTTCTAATAGGATATAATAAGGGGGAATTGATCAAATTGACATTATCATTATCACTATCATCATCAGTATCACTATCGGTAACAACAACTATAATGTTATTCAAAATAAAAACAATTCACTTGCTTTTTGTCTTTTATGTGATGCTTTCTCTCCCTGTCACTTTTTCGCCTTCCCACTCACTGATTCACTACTTCGCTTGCTCTCCATCTTTCTGAATCTCCACTTATTCACCCGTAACCAACATAAGCTTACCTTCATTCACCATATGTTGCTCAACTGATATGCATAATAAAATTTTGAAAATAGAATGAGTTTTTTCACGCAAAACAGAAAAAAATTGAACTCAGCATCGACAACAAAAAAAGAAAGATGATAGATGAATAAATGCGCTCTGGTAGCAGCGAAAAAGAGAAAAAAATCTAGAATAAAATCTGTGTGTGTATTTCTGTTCATTAGCTTCTTTTTTATTCTGCTCTCTGAAAGTATGCAATAATATTCACCATAATGTTTTTTAAAGGGCAATAATAACAGCTGACATTAAAACAACTATTATTTTCTTTCCTTGGCTCAATAAATGAATTTTAAGAGTATGAGGGTGTGAGGCAGTGACCCATCAAAGACTATGAGAGGTGGTCGCGCAATATCGTGAATTGGTTGAAGTTAGATATTAACACCATCTGATGAAGGCTCAGTGGTCTAGAGGTTAGGCGTTCTCACGCGAGATCGAATGTTCTGGGTCCGAATCCCGCGAGCGGGATCGTGGATGCACTGCTGAGGAATCCCATACTGTTCAGTATTTCCAGGTTTTCATTGGTAGTCTAGCGTAGATCGACTCGTGAATTCAACCGCGAAAATACTACACTCTCTACAGATACCCATACTGAATGTTATGCAAAAACAACGGAAAACATTTATAGCTTATCGTTTATGTATAAGCATATAAACATGTATGCATGTACATGTAATTCGTTGGACCAATTTTTGTTTGCTTCTTTCTAGAATCGGTAAACAGACTACAGACTTTAGTAATAAGGATAGTGGATTGGTCTATTTGTTAATCTTCAAGATACGTGTTCGTTGCGAAAACCCAGTTTCTCTTTAAAAGTGCATCATTTATTTAGTCAGTACGGCATTCCAGCCGTCGATAAGAAAATACTCAATACCACTTCAAGTTTATTTATTTAGTTTCGAAACTATTGAAGATTATTTTTACAAATTGAACGATTCGACAAATGTGAATGAAAATGAAGAAATAGTAATTAGTAGTTTTTTACATTTGATATAGAATTTCTTTAATAATTCATAAGTATTTTTTTTCGTTTTGCATACAAATAAAAACGTTTTATTAATTGTATTGAAATCTCCCTTTGTATGGGTAAACGTTACGAGTATAAAAGAACTATATGATTAGATAGCAAAGGGCGGCCTGCTTGAGCATCTGGGCTATCTGTTCCTGCCATCTAGATATTTCAACAAGTTATCTATTGTTGTTTGTTTTAATATATCATTATGTTTATTAATCGCATAACCTATTCTGCTGCGTTTCTGAAAAGTGTACAACCTTTCGTTGTCAAAGTTACAGAAAACTCAATAAGAGACAATATGGTTGCTGGCAATATACAACGAAAAGAATGTACATTATTCAGCTGTTCATTCACTGAAGTGCTAACATCTAACTGGCGATCCCTCAATATTTATCGCCAGGACCGACCAAGTAGAAAGAAACGGAAACTTGTTGAAATACTTTGCGCTGAGAATTCTATATTGTACCAAAAATATAATATTGAATAAAGCTAATAATAATAATAATCTACATACTTATACACTACAACAGAACCTGAGTTGATATAAGATCAATCACAGCAATAATCAGTGTTATATTGTCTTGACCTCAATAATGACTGATTTTTCTATCGTTTTGAAATGTGGCCATTAGTCTGGGTGGCTAGATATAACAGTACACTTTGTTTGACCCTTGTTTGGTAGATGTATTGGTAAGACACGGTGAACTTAGACATGAAACGATTCATATTTAAGTGTTAAGACCCTATAACCAGAGATCGAATAACAACCTAATAGATCAGCGCTGAGGATTAGAAAATGTGATATTAACTACTATAAGGTGATCAAATAATACAATTGATGCATTTTAGCTCTACGGGATTTGACATTTAATTACATGAAATTCAAATTCAAATCATTTGAATGATTTCTGACATGTTCAAATTCTCTATTTGAACTATTATGCATTTGTTGTATTGAGAAACATATAATGAAATAAACAAATGACTGATAATATTTTACCATTACTCCTTGTTAAGTGAAGAATAAAAACAGTTGTTAATATCATGTATGTTGGTGAGCTCGACAAATAAAACTGCATTCTTTGATTCTCAAAAGTGCTCATCTACTACCCTGCAAGTGGGAATCAAACTCATGACCTTCGGTTTCACTCTCAAATGCTTGGCCACCATACCATTAAGTCGGCATACAATAGTCTTAGTATCTAACCTTAATAATATATCATTTTGACTAGTTACACTTCAATTCGACAAACAGAAAATCAAATCAATATTCTATCAACAAAATGGCTAAAGTTTATTAAGAAACTGTTTGCTGACAAGTCTTGGGAAGCAACGGTAAAGTCTGTCCTTAATTTCAAATTATGTTTCATTCAATACAGTTTAATGTGGTTAAACATCTTAGTTTTGCCAATTTTTGGTTTTGTTTTTTTAAAGGTAAACCTATTCAATGTTGGATTCCACAAGAGTTTACACGTGGTTGGGAAGAATATGCTGAGAATTATTGCTGGGTATCTAATACTTATTTTGCTCCATTACAGCATAGTTTACCTCCAGCCCCGGATAGAGAGATGTTACTTATTGGTTACTATCAATGGGCACCAATTGTAATGGCTATACAAGCTATGTTATTTTATTTACCATGTCTTATATGGCGTTTATTTATGGCTCAGTCGGGTTTCAACGTTAGACGTATTCTACAAATGTCATGTGATTCTAATGTTCTACTACCAGAGCATACAATGAAAAATGTACGCTTTATAGCTCGTTATATGGAAGGTTGTATTTATAGACAAAGAGATTATAGGAAAAGAAAATTATCAACAGTTTTAGGATTTTCTCCTACAAGTTACACTGGTCTTGGACAATCACCTCATATACATGTTCATCAACACTATTCACCCTCTTATCCTCCTCATCTTCATCAACAACAACAACCACATTCACATATGCACCATCCCCCTCCACCACCACCACCTCATTCACATACCCAATCACCACCATATATGCCTACAAGTCATTTTCATCAGCAATTAACAACAGTTAATTCAAGACAATCACCTATAGGCGGTGATGAAAATCGTTACAACAATGATCATCAAATAGAATCCACATTGATTACATCACCACGTCGTGATTCTAATACATCATTATTCGATAAAATTAGACATAGTTTCTCTATAGATGATAATAATAAAAAAAGTAAAAAACGATTACCATCTGTTACAGAAGAAGCTAATACATTAGTTACAACAATGGAAACATTAAATTCTAGAAATAGTGGTGATTATCATCCAATGCTTGGACGTTTAAAAATTGATGATAGTCATACTCAACAAAATATAACAACAAATGTGAATACAACAAATTCATATCGTTCTATTCATACATTATCACCTACATTATATAAATCACAAGAAAAATCATCATTAAATTTACATAAGAAACAACATTTACATTATTGTTGTACATGTTTTTGTGGTAAACGTCAGGGAAATTTTTTAGTTCTCTTATATTTTTTCACTAAATTCTTATATTTAACAAATATTATTGGACAATTATTTATGATGGAAAAATTTGTTGGTAATGATAGTACATTTTATGGATTTCGTGTATTATATGATTTATTAAAAGGACGTGAATGGTTTCATTCGGGTAATTTTCCACGTGTAACATTTTGTGATTTTGAAGCGAAAAAACTTGGAAAAAATCATAAGTAAGTTGATTTTTTAATATTTTTATTTGATTGATTTCTTGTGTAGTGAACAAAGACTTAATTGGGGGAAGACCAATTTGTTATCTTATGCATAATTGTATAGTGCCATCGTAAAATATGAAAATCATACACTAAATCCATTATTTGCATATCTTCCATCGGTTGTCCTTTACATACTTCATGATTCTTTTAATTCTGTTATCATTATAGTTATTCTATTTTTATATTCCTTTTCTCTTCCGTTCGATCTTCTCACTCTTCTGATGCCAGGGATTTTACACCTGATTGGTGTTACACACTACTTGGTTCTGTCAACATAAGTAGCATACACCACAGTTGTACACCTAAAATAAAAGGAAATCGTATTTCATTAAACTTGATTGAATAGATTGAAACAGTAATAGTTTTAGCACCATTAGATTATTTAGATTTATTTATGGTAGGGTAGAAATAGGTTAAAATAATGCGATTTTAATTGGTTGCTTGATTAAAACACTTTGTTAGAATGAAACCAAAGTGAATCAAATTTCAGTAATGAAATGTCTGCATAGTGTTTGACAGTTGAGATAGATTTATATATATATATATATTCATTAAAGGACTAGTGATGATTACGTAATTAAGAACTTTAATTTTAGTAGTTGAATAAACTATACTCATTTGGTTCCATACAGATTGGTCTCAACAGAAATATTCGAGTCATAATCTATGTAATGATGAATAAAAATATGGAAACAGATAAACAGATAAAAATTTATATGACACCAAAACTATAGATTGAAAATTCTATTTCGGAATATTAATTTCCACAAAATCCTCTTTATTTTTGAATGCTGGTTAAATCGTGAATAAAATTTCACTAATTTGCATTCATCAGTAATTAATTTATGTGTAGTTGAAGTAAATTCATCCGGTCATAAAAACATTATATGTTACACCCAAAAAACGGTGTTTAGCTATAGCTGTTAACATCTACCGTTTATACATTTAAAAGGTCAACCTCATATGAACATCTAATTTAATTAAACTTATTTTGAATTTAACTTTTCCGAAATTCTTATCTGTTAGTTTACCTGGGTGAAAATCATGTTGATTTTTCATATGACATCTGTGTCTTGTACTTGTACATTTAAAAGTAAGATGGTGAATTAACAAATCAAAGAATCTGGTTTTTAGTTCTTTTTTCAATTAATTATTCTTATTCTTATTATTAGTCCAATGGAGTTTGAATAATGATGGATTTTCGTATCTTACAGTAGTAAGCACAGCTACTTCACGAAATTACTCCCATTAAATTGAAAAGAAAACAGTCTATGTTGAACTGTTAGACAACCACTGACGACCATTTCGTCCTAGGGTCGGACTCTTCAGAAGATTACATCTACGATTAGCTCCAAGAAGAAATTTCCAGACTTCAAATGAGAAGCCATGAGCAGTGGAGCTAATTCCTGTTGAGTGTGAGACAGTTTCTCAATGAAGGCAATGGAAGATGGTCGTGGGTTGGTTGAATTCAGAAATTAACACCATGGGATCCCGACTTGGCTATCTAGAGGTCAGGCGTTCGCGCACGAGAGCGAAGTTCCTAGTTTAAGATTGCTTGCAGGGTCGTGAATGAGGACCATTCAAGAGCCCAATGATAAGACGAAACGCTCATTCAGTGCTTCCAGGTTTTCAAAGGCTGATTAATATTATTAATATTATTAACAATCTACACAACACCTTATTAAGGAAAATGGTTTGATAAGATAAACAATTAAGTTGACCACGTTCTGTAGAAATTGGTTTACATCATAGGTTTCATTTGACACAGACCGATTTTCTTTGGTGTACCATTGTAAAGCATTGACGTTTTTTCTCCCCAGTATAGGACTTCTCAGCAGTGTACAGCAACAAACCCACCAGGGTTTGAATTCATGGCATTCAAGATTACCGGAACCATAATAAATTGCTTTTAAAATAGGTTTAAATAAAACGGTATCTAATCAAATCACATATAGTTTTATATTACTATCAATAACATCCCATTCTTCAGTGTTTCAGTCTACAATACCAGAGTAAATTTTAACTGAAACTTGTTCATCATAAACCGCTTTGAAATAATTCACTAGTTGTCATAAAACGTTAAATAATAAAATTGTAAAATGAACGACGTGGTTGATTGTTTTACGTTTGATCTTATTCAAGTTTTTCGTAAATCTATCTGTCTGTATGTATGTGTGTGCGTGTGTGAAATGTCCGTAAAGTAGATTTTCAGACTTCATTACAGTTATCCAGTATTTTTACATTTATAACAGGATGGAAAAGAAAGTAGAATTAAATTATATATTAAACAGAAAAACAACATATTTTAAATACACTAACATAAGTGAATTTAATGATTATAAGATAGAGGTTAAGATGGTAATGAACTCAAGGAAATAAGCATACGCACTTCATGCATAAATGCCAACTTGTATGCATTCAACATGTATATAATATTTCATGATTATTTCTTTTACAAACCAGAAAAAACTCGAGTTATATGTGCATTGATTGTATGCAACTTTTCATTTTGCTTCAATCATTATAATCTGAAATATAATTTTATTACCATCCGGTGTAGTAATACATATGTGTATCTATGTGTGTGTGCGTGAGTCTGTGCATGTATCCATATGCACTTCATACAGAATCACTTATACATACACTTACATTTTACAGAACACACACAATCTAAGACCTATCTAAAAAGATATAAAAAAGAATTGTATTCTAGAAAAGAAAGTCAGTAAACGATTTCCCCTTTTATTTAGTCGAATATTTAAATCAAGAATGAATTATGTGTCTGTTATTAATATCACCTAGCATAAAACATAATTTGCACTTTTAATTTTTTAATAACGGATTAATGAAGGAAAATATTTTGAAAAATTTCATAATCATTGTCTATTTCTACATTCACAGTTTTATCAGAAGGGGTTTGTGGAGATTTTAGAAATTTTCACAGATTGAAATCATGAGTCAGTTGAAGCTAGACCACCATTGAAAACCTGGAAGCACTGGACGGCCGTTCCGTCTTAGTATGAGACTCCTCAGCAGTACGCATCCACGATCCCGCCCCCGCAAGATTCGAACCCAGGACCTAAAAGTCTCGCACGCGAGCACTTGTTTTGTTAAAAAAAATAAATTCGATGAATGTAATCATTAACTATCTGTTCGATATATAGAGGATTTATAATCGTAACTTGGTAATGTCTACACCAAGTAAAGGAGACGATGAGGTCATACTTAAAAATTGGTGCGCATTACTGAGGTGTTTCATACTAAGCACAAGACACCTGTTCAGTGCTTTCCGGTCTATCGTCCTTCCCTTACTGGTATCAGCTCGCGTGGTCGACTACGAAACTGACTTTTTGGTTTCATCGTTGTATTCTTTATTATATATATATATATATATATATATATATATATATATATATATATATATATATATATATATATATATGACTACATATTCCTAAAGGAATTGTAATCGTACACTGTAAGATTTCATGTTGTTTGAAATGCTTGATCAGAATGACTGACCTATGGTGAACATAGTATGTGACATATCAACCAATAAACAACTGAATACCGATTTGCTCATATTTTTGATGATATATATATGACATAATTTTGTTTGGCGCTTATCAATTATAATATGAAATTTAACTGTTATAGTATGATGTAATTGTTTTGAGTTTAACAATCTCCTGGTAGTCAAACGTAGCTTCAATTAGACAATAATGCTTCTAGTATAGATTGGCTCCAGCTTATGGATCACTGAAAACTTTAGGGGACAGGACATTTGTGTCGTCCTGGTACAATGCACTTCAAAGATCAAACCCAAGATCTAAGGTCTTGCATGTGAACGTTTAACTTATAGGCTACTGAGCCTAAATTCAGTGGTTTTTATATCTAACTTCAACAGATTAGCGATATAACTCAAACAAATTCTACCGCCTAATTTGGAAGTTATTCCGGAAGTTCTACTAAGAAGCCATGACTAGTGAAGTTCGTCAGTGTCGGATAAGTGACAGTTATCGACCTCATGCATTAAAAGTTAATCACCCAATACATAAAGTTGATTGAACTTAGACGTGTACACCTTTGGATACTGGCTTATTGGGCTAAAGGTTAATTAGTCTCCATGAGAGCAGAAGGTCTTCGGTTCGATCCGGTTTAAGTAGTTTTTGTTTACTGCTAAGAAATCTCTAGTTTTCAATAACTGTCTAAAATAGATGCCTGACAAAAAAAATAGAATTGTCATTGGAAACCACTTTACTGGAATATAATGTTCAGGTTGTAAACAGTTGTAACTGTTACACAGTTTCACTAACCAAAACAGGTCAACTAACTAATAAATGATTTAAATCAAATGGTTGAAATGTCAGTCAAATTAAAATTGAATTTAATAAACTAACATCAGTCTACAGACATAACTTGCACAATCTAAATGAAGTGTGATCAAATACAATCTATGTAATACAGTGATCTAAAATATTATTTACTCTCTTTGTTTCAAGTATTATCTAAGTTATATTATTTACAGTCAAATCTTTGCATTCATATATACAATCATTCCATATGTAATGAAACTTTTACAGGATGTAATATTCTTTTACGTAAAACGATAATCGTACTGACATTGAAAAATTTACATTTAATACCATAAGATAATGGTTTGTTCAACTCTTCTTATTTCTCTTTATCTCTGTCGTCTTTGTAGTGTATGTGTGTGTTCGCATTACATGTATGTACACCTACCTGTTGTACATTACTGGTACCGATTCTTGGATTGTCATGAGCTTAATGTAACAGAGATCTACAGTAAAGCATAAAGATTTATTTACCTTCTACAGAATTATTTCCAGGTAGACTTACGAGGAAGTCAGAAAAAACGCCTAATCAAACTTTAATGGTGCATATTTGTACTGGAGTTTCTTATCATTTCGTTTTCATACTGTTTTTATGTCGATGAG